TATGAAAGGTAGAGAAAACGAGTAATACGAAGGATATAATGCTGTCATGTCATTTGCTCGCTTCAACAACTGGTGCAGAAAGACTTTGGCACCGCGGAAAACGCAGCCGCACTGACCCGCCCCGACAGTCCGTAATGATGAGGAGAGTATGCTGACGCAAAGAACGATGAACGCAGTCTCACTGCCTGTGAACAGATTTATAATTTATCACAAGAATGCTGAGTTATGGGCAAAAGTCGGACCACGGACGGGATTCGAACCCGCATCTTCTGCTTACCGGGCAGTTGCGTTCCCTATTACGCTACCGAGGCCACTTTTGACCACTCAGCTCAATGGCTATTTGTGCCATAGCCTTACAGCACTCACACGTTCAACGTGATGAGCTTTTGTTAGCCGATACGATATCGATCCGTGGTCCGACTTTTGCCCATAACTCAGCATTCTTGTGATAGCTTTCGGATCGCGTACTGCGGCGTTAAACAGCAGTTATCAAACAATAACAGATTCATAGTTTGTCGAATTCTTCTAGAACAGATAAATCTAGAGAACAAATACACCACCTTCTGTAATTCCGATGTATTGGAGTCAGGCAACAAGGTAGAATAATGTTCAACGTAATCCTCAGGAGTCTCCATATTTGACATCACCACCTTAAATTAATGAAACTAAAGATTCAGAGAAGACCATGCGCGCCTAGACAGCAAAGCGTTCACCTTGAGGATCATTTCTGCCTTGTTCAACGCTGCGCTCACACCTCCAACGTACGCTGTTGGTGGCTTTGCTGCCACTGCGCTGTCAATCGAAGGCATTTGAAGGAGGAACGACTTCAGGGAATGGGTATCAAGAAGTAATTGTTCGGCTCCTAAAATTAGACATGTATATGTAACATACAGATCAATAATTTGTGCGAACTTTTATGAATAGTAGTTGGCGTCATTAACTTGTATTCCCCGCTTCGATAGCATTCTTTTAAGATTCTCGTGATATGTGACAAGACTATCGTGATATGCCACGGTGGTGGGCGTGGCGAGCAACGTTCGCCAGCAAAACGAGTTGTCTTGCTTGGCTCTTTGAATCTGCATGTAAAAATCACAGGAGAGATTTCTATCATCCAGCGTGAAGTCTTGCCCACGCTTGTGCTAACATGAGTTTCGCTTCTGTAATTTGAGAATTTGCCGCATAATGTCAGAAGATACGCCGCGCACGACGGCGTGGCAGATTACCATTGTCTGTCGGTCTCCCGGCAAACCGCCCAAACTATCCTCTAATGGAACTATCGAAAAGTCGAGATGATAA